ATATGTATGAAGTTAGGATTTAACAGATAGATCAAGTACCTGGCATCAATCCAAGGTCTAATTCTTAATCTTCTGTACTATGGATATGGTAGATAAATTTCTCAATGGCCAATTTTAAAAACTATTCACTCAAACCCGACATAGCCCATTTCAGCCTCTCTTTAATAGGAAATCTAATAACTTTTTCTGATGGGGTGCATAAAGCTCTGGTATTTTGTTTTCTTTTTATTGCCAGATGCAAGTGTGTTCCTGTATTTACAGTCAATAAAGCTATCAGTGCTATACACAGGTTTAGATTAATAATTTCAGCCTTTCAGTCTTGGGTATCAGGTTTAGGCACTGCTGTGTTATTTGCATGCCTCAGGCTCGTGCTGACTGTCCAAGCAGTTGCAATGTTTCTGCTCAGATCTGCTTCTACAAGGGGCACAACCCATTCCAGCATTTTCATTCACATTATTCAGAATTCATGTCTCAAACAAGCCAGGCAGCACTCGAGTAGTACAAGTGGTGTCTGCAGAAAAGAAAGATGGTGATCCCCAAACCCATTCTTCTCATGCAGTTTTGTCTCTGATAGCTCTTTGTACCCTGTTCACACTCTGACTTCCAGTTTGGATAGCTTCAAAAGAGTCGATTCCTTATTAGGACTTACCATGAAAGAACAGGAATTTCAAAAGAGATGCAGTATTACCTGTACATGGGTCATAGATGTGAAATTCTGTGACCTTTCTGAGCCATCAAGTCTAGGGAACATATAAGAAGGAAGAAATACTAGCCTTAGTCCTGCTGCTTGTTATATTAGTGAATGTTTATATTAACCCAGAGAGCCAGGTTTTGTTACCTAGACTTTTCTGTCCCTTAAATGTCTTAACAGCCCATTTCTGCCATGAGCAAACCAGTTAGTGATCACATGTACTTTTTTCCCCCCTGTATTTTTATAATACTTGCAGAAGATAAAATGCATCTCTGCCCTAAAGCCACTGCAGCTATTCTGTGTAGAAGACCATGGGCTGGGTTTGCACTTGGGGGAGAATGTGCCACCTCCTCGTGCTCGGAATTTATTTTTCTTTAGCACACATTGACTGTCTCCCTTAAGAGTGAGCATACAAATATAAATAGCAAATAAGACATTTCACCAAATATCTTGACACGTTTTAGTGGATTTAGATTCACTTTCCACAGTTTCTGTTTCATGCTCACTTTCCTTCATCTAAGAGCAGTCGCAGTGGCAGTATAAAAATAGCTTTTAAATTGAATTTTTCAAGATCCTCCTTTTCTGCTATCTCTTACTGCTTCCCACTTCTCTTCTGATTTTACAATTCTTTCTACTCTTCTCCCTGAAAATCAAGATCTCCTTATGCTTTGCATTACCAGCTGTCAGGCATGATGCTGTATATGCTGATATGCCACTGTGTTAGCTTGCTTTGCCACTGTTGGCAGCACTCTGCTGTCATGCTCAATTGAGACAAAAAGGACTGTTTCTTACTGGAAAATTAATTCATGAAAAATTACCTTTGTTTCTGTAATATAATTGTTTTGAAAGAAATTAAACATACAAAGGAAACTGTATTACAACAAATTAGTCCTTAATTTTATAAAGGTTTAAGTGTCAAATATGAATGAACTAAACACAGTGAGGCCAACTAATTTAGTGAAATTACAGCCTCAAATTGCCACATGTGATTTGAGCACAAATTCCATCAGCTGAGATGGTTTTTGTATTTGGATTTTTTTCCTGACATAACTAGTTCTGAGCAAAAGGGAATGCATCTCCAGACATCTGGAAATTATCTCTGGAGGGAATAACCAATTTGCTTGTGTCCCTCTTTGAAAGGGAGAGACAAGGTCAGAAGGATTGTATTGGAGATGATCTTTATCCTGACGTGTTCTCCTCCTCCACCCTGCAAAAGAGGAGGAAGTAGAACATCCTCTTCTGTGCTGACCTGTTTCTTCTCCCTAGGCCTTTCAATCCCTTGTGCTTTTATGAAGATGACTGCCTTTTGCAGGTCTTTCTGCCAGTCTCGGAGTGCTGGTGGGCTGCTATTCCTAGGGCTGAAATGAAGGAGCAGTTTTGCAGCAGGTTTCTTTCTCTTGGGTACAGACTGCCCTGATGGGCTTTCTTTGATCCATGGTACAACTGAGCAAGGTAACCAAGCTGATCTCCTCAAAGCCTGGTGGGGCTGCAGCTGTGCTGGTGAGCCAGGCTGGCATCCTGTCCTGCAGCCACCTCAGTGTCATTGTCACTGTCAGTGTGGCCCCTGGCACCAGTGTGGCTCACCCCAGCTGGAGAATGGCCGTGAGTGGCTCAAGGCTCAGCACCTGCCTGGAGCAGCCAGCTGGGGATGCAGCCCCTGCTTTGGGGGAGAGAATTCAGCCATTTGTGAGCTGTATCATGGGGTTTGATCTTACTGGCCCTGAGCTGTCTCTGTTCTTACAGAAATGACTGGTTAAAACACACCCTTTGTTCCCACTTGCAGGGGATTTTAGGCTTATCTGCAGGAGAGAAGAATCAAAAGTCTTTTGTGGACTTGACAGTTAGTACATCACTAAACACATATACAAAAAGTCCATGGCATTACAGCAAAAAATTTGAGAAAACAGTCCTGAACTTCTCTTCCAAAACACCTGTGCGTGTGTGTATGTGTAAACATTTTAGAGTGTGGGTATATAAATGTAGATGTTTATTTAAGTACATTAGAATGTCCACCTACCTAATCTATGTTTTATAATTCATTTACATATAAAATATAGTGTAGTTCAAGTGACTTGGTTTTTTTTTCAGTAAGTAAATTAGAAAAAAAAAATAAAATGTTTTTCTTGATGTTGAAAGGCTTCTATCACCTTAATTTCAATTTAAATCTAATTACTTCAAAATGCCTGTTTTTACTACTCTCCCCTTCCTCTTTTTTTTTTAGTTAAGCTTCCTAAAGCTTAAAATTATCTTGATAGGTTTTTTTAATCTTTTTTAATCCTTTTTAATTTGAAGGAAAGTCTTTTTTTCTTGCAGTTGACAAGGAGTGTGTTTGACAATGCAAGGGAATGCTGATTTCATGTACAAAGAGAAACTGCCAAATGTACAAGGTCCTTGACACAACAGACAGACAAGCTCTTTTTTTTATTTTGCATTTCTGATAAAATTAATTTATAGTAATTTTCGCTGTTACTTTCAGCTTAAAGTCTTTAATTTTGGGAATTGGGAAACTCTTTTTTTATTTTTAAATTCCCCCAGATTTGCAGTGTCCCTGTAAAAACTTAGAGATAAGCATTTAAGAGATTGATGAATATTGTGTTGTGTGTACAGTTGTTTCATATCTAGAACTATGACTAAAAAATAGGCTTTGGTAGCTGGTATCCATAAATCAAGGTGTTTTGTCAGCTAAGAGGCTCCCAGCAGAACAGAAGTAATCTCCAGTTCACACTGACTGTGATGTGCTTGCCAATCAGGACCAATGACAGAAAGTAGGGAGGAGCTGAGTGGAAAGATTCCTTCTGCACTCCGTGGTGGAGTTGCTGAGCCCCCTCTAAGCTCTGGTGGTTGCACTGGACTACAACAGCAGTGTATTTCATGTTAAAAGTATGAATTCATCATTGTCATAGTAATCCCAAAACTCTAAAAACCATATCAGTAAATGAGCTCTATCTGTGGACCAGCTCCAGCAGTTCAGAGCCTGCTTATTTAATTTGTCTTAAGCACATTAAACGGTTCTGGGCAGGCTGTCACTATGATCTTTGAAATATTTCTGTGTTTCTTTTGTTCTCTGCTTTTAAATTTCTTATACAGTAAGACTTTCATACTCTGTTCATTACAAATTTCTGGATATTCAGACTCTTATTTGAGCTTAAAGCCTTTCAAACCACAGCAGAAATTCAGTAGTGGGAAAGGAGAGAGATGTGTACTTTGTCCTCTCTTTTTCCACAGCCTGTTGACTCCCAGTGCAGACACTAAGCCTGGAGTTTCTGACTCTTACCTGGCAGCTGGTCTGCAGGTCAATTAACCCAGCAAGTATGGATCCTTTTTGACTAGAATAGATATAAGGTTTGAGCCTGAAAAATAATGTCTTCACCACAGTTTTTGTCTGAAAATAATTCGACATCAGCTTAGATAAGGGCCTTGTTTTTGTCAGGATATTTTTTCCCCTTCACTTCTTGTCAAAGTGCTCAAATTCCAATATTCAGAAGTCTTCAGAAAAATAGAGGAATGGCTGATGAAAAACTTGTGTGATACTTTGAAAATGTAACACATGCTGTGCAGCTCCAGTAGATGAAAGAAGCATGGTTGAAGGGTTTAAAACATGCTTTCATATTAATCTACTATCATGTAAATATTCTTTTAAGACACTGCTTATGGATTCCAATTCTTCAGCTGCCACCATAGCTTATTCAAAGTTTAAAGGGTTATGATATATATTCTTTGTGAAGTATTCACTCTATTTTTTTTTCCACACTAGCTTTTTGGCTTTTTGATAACCAGGACTACACACTACTGTACTGGCAAATGCATGAATATTTGTGGTCTTCGACTTCTGCCACATCTAAACACTGCTGCGCACTTGCAGCAAAAATGGGAAATGGTGAATAATCCCTCCTGCCTTTTGAGATGGTCATATTTGAATTATGTTGGCAGGATTGAGTGAAGAAGCTTGTATTGTTAACAGGGCTGAATCTGCCCTGTAAATGCATAAGACTTTTTTTCCATGGGGATTTCAATTCAGCTTTCACCAGTCCTTGTTCACCTAAAATGAAATTTAAAGGTTTTCTTAGGTTTCTGCTGCTAAATTTGTGCTTTATGTCAGGGAAAAAAATGTACAATGTTATGAACATTTCTTTTTACTATAAATTTGTTCTTTCACTCAACTTCATAAGAAATACATTCCATTATTGTCACAAAATACCCTTTTTCTTCATCCTTAAGCAAAACAGTATCCTGAAACACTTAATTTCATTAATTTAATTTGGTAAACATTGTACTAGCTTTGACACACATGAACTTTCTTTCTTCCTAGGTTTCCAGAGGAGGAGTTGGCAGCAGAGCCACTAAAATATGCTGAACAACTTCCTGTAGCTCAGATAATACACCAGGTAAGTCTTTCTATTTTAAAAATTCATTTGAAAATAAAGAACATCTGTGATACTTAAACTGCTTTTCTAGGTCACGCAGAATTAATGTCCTCATGCTGGAAGTATGTATAAACAAGATACTCTTGTTCAGATGACAACTATTAAATTATAAAAGTCTCATTCTGAACATGGCAACGAAAAGATGCTTGCTGTATGACATGGTTAACACTTCAGAGCTACTTGTTAAAGTTGTTGTGTGTCTGCTGATAGAAAAGAAAAAAAATCCATTAATTTCTCCAAATTCGCATCTTGACCTAAATCGTATTTCCCTTCCTGAAAAAGCAGCCAAAGTATGGAGTCATTATCGTGGAATAATTGTCATGATGACTTGAGCAGGGAAAACAATCTTTCCTCCTAATACAATTCTGAATTAGCACTGGATTATTTCTAACTATAGCAGTATGATCATACTTTCTGCTTCAAACAGGGTTTTTTTATTTTGCACAATTTAAAAAAAAGGTTTCTATTTTTCCTAGATTGTGCCTTCTAACTTTTTCTTTATTTAAATGCAGTACTGTGGTATTGATTTAAGTAAACAACTGAGGGATGATGTGGACATACAAGCTGGAATTAAAGTTTTTATTGTAACATGTCTCCCCCAATTCATGGCAAGGAGGAAGAAGAGATCTTTTCTGTGCAGAAGATTCTATATTCCCTTCTTGCTCTTTCCTCAGAGTTCAAGGCCTGGTTTTCCATCCATCCTGCTGGGTAGATCAGGTACCCAGTCTGCATAAAAGTGTGTCCTCATTCTTTGCTGTCAGCCACAGAGGGCTCTGCCTGTTGTGTGGAAAAGCTTATGGCCAAACAGCACACATAAATCTTGTGTCAGACATGACTGGGGAGACTCAGCATTCCCCTTCTTAGGGATGCCTTAAAGGAAGGGTAAATGACCTCTTCTGTTGCAGTAATTTTGATTTTTTTCAGAATAAAATAAATAATTGTTAAACTTATAAAACTATAACATTATAAATGTGAGTCCTGCTTCAGGGATAAGTAATTACAGTTTTCTTAAGTCAGGGCTAAACAGGTCACATTACTGTTTTCCTAATGGTATCTTGGCCCTATGGAATCTTCCAGGTAATCAAGTATGCTCTGAAAAATTGACATGAAATTTGGGGAAGATGATGGCAGTTTATGTTGGGAGACAAAATGGTGCAGTCCCTTCACTGCCTTGAGATAAGGAAAATTTCCAGACTGAAAACTGTGACTTGGTACTGGTCAGAGTAGCACTAAGCCAGAGAGGCAATGTTAGATAAAGCTGTGGTTTCAGACTCAGCTGTTTCTAAACACTTCAAGATCAACAGGATCAAATAAAAGTCCACTAAGTCCCTTAATAGAATTTTGTAAACAACTTTTTGTGTATTAATTATTATCGTAGATCTTCCCAAATACCTTTGTCAATAAGTGTTTTAAAGCATTGAGTCTCATGCTCCAGGCAGTGCTGGTTTTACCTTAAAGGAAACATAAGGTTTATTTTAAAACCTTAAAGTGTACAAGCCTTTCCTGCAAGTTGTTAAGCACAAGGGATTTTAAAACTTTTGGCTGAAATCTGCACCTTCGGGAAGAATTTCTGATGTGCTCAGAACATGGAAGATTGGAAATCAGGACCAGTTTGTATGTCAGGAACTCCCTGGTGTTGTCAGAGCTTCAAATGACCCAACAGCCTGCAAATGTCACATTTAAAATTCTGTCTTCATGCCTGACTCTCAGCATAAATGAATTAAACAGCAGAGCAGGCAGCCAGTCAATATGTTCTCAACAGTGAGAGTGAGCAATGAAACAGTTTGGGGGTTGTTTGGAATCAGTAAATAGAAAGTGCATGGAATGGCTCACCTAGAGGAAAAGCTCAAATAGGAAACAGAATTAACCTTTAAAATGGTCGAGCAGACCAAATGTCATAGCAATATTTTTACAGCATTAGGTGGGTAATAACCACAGAGTGTTCATTTGGCCACTGTGTGTTACACTGCAATAGAGTATTGTGCTGTGCAAAGGCAAAAAGCTGGGTTCATGTGCTCTTATCTGTTTGCTGAACTTGCCAGTAGTACAGAGCTGGGGTCTGCACAAGGCAGCAGAGCAGACCCAGCAGAACTGTGAATGTCTTGGATGCAGAGCAGGCAGATAAGGGAGCATTGTTCAGCTGTGGGGACAGGAGTTTGGCACCCTGCCCTGGTTGTGTGAGGCTGATGCCCTGCTGAGCTGCCACCAGCTGAGCATCACTGCACCAGCATCGTGCTGAATTAGCTCTGCTGAGAACCCCTTGTACCCTTCTGCTGAGGGACCTGGCACAACTGGGACAAGTTGTGCAGGGGCCTTGTTTATATGAAAAGGATTTTTTTGCTCTAAGAATAAGGAAGGAAATTATAGGAAACCAAAAAGTGACAAGAGTAACAACAGTGAATAGTATTTGTGGTGTTACGATGCTGTATCCACATGGGTACATGCATACTCTAGACATACATAACAGCATCAGTGCTTTGTACTTACGGCATAAATATACATTAAAATTTCACAGTGGTGGACAGGTATCCTAAATTAGTATAATGTATAAAATACATTTTAATTATACTTTTTAGCCAACATAGCCACTACTACTATCCAGTTTTAAAATTGGATAAATTTATTCTCCTGAACAGTATTAAAATACTCCTTGTGCTTTTAACTGAAATAAAAAGCCTCTAGTGCTTGGTAAAGGAATACAGTCATTAATATAAACTTGTAAAAGTAGAACTTTCAGAGTAATGCCCACACGAGACAGCCTTTTTAATGAGATTCCCTCTGTACAGCCATGCATACAATGCTGCTACTTAGAATATGTTTATGCTACTTAGAATAAGGCCAAAAAAAAACCCCAAACCAAAACCCAAACTAAAAAGAGGAGAAAAAGAAGATTATTTTAATTCTGCACTTGTCTTTAGTCAAAACAGGTCTGGTGGAAGAACAGGGCAAACTGCATTTGAGAAGATTGTTTCGATTTATCATAAATTATATTCATTGCTGGCCTTGCAGTCCAGCAAATCATTTTAATAAAAGCACCTAACTTCAGTGCCAGTGCTTGTGCTTGGAATGTCACTGTGTGTTAACATACTTGGCCTAATCAGGATTTAGGATATTGAAGAGACTTAAATTGTTATAGGTGTCTTTCTGGTGGAAAAATGCTTTATTGATGAAAGGCACATTTCAGCAGATAAACACTAGATATCCTGATGGTGTTATAATTGAAAACAAAATGAAACAGCAAATTCAGACCACAGTCAACTTGCATACTTATTTTAGTCCATTGCAAACCATTAAGCAGGTAAATGAACATGCTGTTAAACCAGGATGATATTTTAGGAAAGTGACTTGCAGCCTGTAGTGGAAATTGCACAATTTACTTGAAATCTGACATAGTTTACAGTTGCAGATTTACTTAAAAATAAGGAGTTCCTTAGGTATTTTTTTCATGGGGGGAGTGTTACATGCAATATCCAATTAAAGTAGAGAGAGTTTCCTTTTGGAGGTATAAGTTTGGTTTGTAGAAGTTTTACCCTGTGCTTTTGTGTTGCCTCTCCATGAGCAGGCTCAGTGGCAAATGCCTTCAGTGATTGCAGGAGCTGCTGGGAAGCTGTCACCATAGGGAAATTAAATGGGAAATTTATGAAAGATGATAGGAGGGGGATCTCCAGAGTTAAAAATGCACAGCTTGATGGCCATCAAAGGATGCTGCAGGGTTGCAGTTCTGCAGTAATTCTTGCAGGAAGGCCTTTGTTTCCATCATTTCTGTGCTTCTGTAACAAGTTTGCAGCCATTACCCACCCCACCCTTCCCCCAGAAAAAATCCTTTTGCTTTGAAGATCAATTTTTTGTTGATTCTCAGGGCCTCATTCTCACGTTGTAGAGGGTGGTTAGTTTATTGCACTTGTTGTTGTTATTCTGGTTTCATGCTGATTTAATTGACAGAGGTTTTCTTCAGCGGCATTTGCCAGAAATTGTTGAAACAGTATTAAGAAAATAGAACACACTATGTTGTATAGATTTTTTTTTGAAATATCCTTTTATTATCTATAACACAACAATTTTAGCTCTCAGACTTAAAATATTTTCACGAACATTAAAGTGGTTTGCGATCTGTGTGAAACGTTCAATATGAAAAGTAACTCATCACATGGTGAGACAGTCTTGAGAAAACAACTTTAAAATTCAGGGATCACACCAGCTCCTTGTCCATTGCCTTGTAGCTGCTCTTTGGCAGTTTATACAGTTCAGGAGGTCCCCTCACTCCCAGTCTGCTTCTGTCCTGATGGTGGAGTCTTTGTTCCTGTAAATGTTTTATAAAGCCATTAGTGTTCAGAACTTTGGCGAAGTGTGCAAGATGTTTAATAGCACAACAGTAACCCAGATTTTATTTTTATTTTTGATGCAGACAGGAGGTTTTGTTTATGAATATTAATTTATTAAAAATTTTAAAGTACTTTGATAAGTGATACTTGCATTTTACTGTGTCTTTACAGGCTAAGAGGTTCAAAAACAACTTGTAATACTTAGATGTCTCAGGTTTGATGTGCAAAGTTTTAGACACAGCTATTTATACATTCTTTGAAAATCCATTCATGTAGCTGTGTTTGAAAATAACTTTGAAGCATAGCTTGCTTTTTAGAACTCCGGTCATGGTATTCAGCTGAATGATGTCAGAGATAAAATACAACCTTTCACCAAAAGGTCCAGGTTCTGCTGCACCTGCTAGCACAGGCACAGGTCTGCCCAGGCAGGGATGCTTTTCTTTGTCAAAAATGGATTTTGTCAGAATGATTGAAAATTGAATTTTTCCTACCAAGTATTAAAAAGTACACTGACTTCAGAGTCCAGTTTTATTTTAACAAAATACATCACTTGGCTTCCCACCAAAAAGCCTTGTGACATGTCAGCCTGCCCTAGGACACCTCAGCCTGTACCACTGCAGTGCTGAGCAACGTGCTGAA